TAAATAAAAAAAAAAAAAAAAAAATTATAATAATTAAATTGTCAAAATGATTTGTTGCATTGAATTATTACAATATATTTTAAATTATCAAATATTAAATGTCGCCTATTGGATCTGAAAATATTTTTAAAATGGCTAAATGATCGTTCCACATCAACCTACATGGGTTGATTAAAGCATATTTGAAGCGCATAATATCAGAAGGTGATAATTCCAAATTTTTAGAAGGGTGTCTGCCACTCATTATGTCATTGATTGATTGAAAATCAATACAACTTGTAATTTTTTTCTGTAACAGCATTAATTTTCTTTTTTACAACATTTCCTATTGGTCCGTTTACAAGTTTTCATTTTGCTATCGTTGATTCGACAATTTGCATACTTTCATTTAAGGAAATATTTTTATTTCTAATTTTGTAAATGTATGTGCAATAAAACTAAAATTCACCGAGATGAAAATTAAATTAGTTTTTATGTTTCATTTTCCATAATATTTTGAGCTTTACTAATAGCGATAGAAGTTACTGGATCCAAATTTGAAATAATTTCTTGTACTTTTGTACGAAGAAGACGTATGAATGATGAGATTATGAAATATTTAAAAATATGTAATTATATTAAAATATGTAAAAATATGTAAAATAAAAGTAGCATTATATTAATAGAAATGATTTAAATCATGAACATTTCTGATCGAATCTTAAATATCTCTTTTTAATAAAAATATGTATTTACATATAAATCCTTTCCCTATTTATAATTTATATTTAATATGAGTTAATTTTATTTGTATAATACTGTTTAACACTTAATGACATCAAATAAATTACAAAGCCAATTTTTCAATTATTTTATTGTGTTAGATTATTTTTAACAAACAGGGGACGTTCTATAAGCGCTGTGAGAGGTAAGGGGACTGATTCCACTTGCTTCCCTCTTACTTAAAACTCTGATTTTAATAAACTATCATATTACAGAAATGGATATTTATCATACAATTTGTTTATACTGTAATATTAAACTTTATGTTTTAACCGCGGTTCAAATGATTCTTATAATTTTTCATAGGTAATTTAATATTGTTTACATTTTGATAAAATACATAGATTAATTCACATAGCTCTAAATTTATTTCTAAATATTTTAATAAATATATTTCTGATTTTTTTTTTAGATATATTTCTTTATAAATGTATTTGATTTTATATTTTGATATGTATGACCATTTAAAATGTAAATTATTCAATTATAATTCTCAGTAGTTAATTAATAATTGAAATGAGTTTTGTTCGTAAGTACATTACGTGCCTGTGTTGACATATATACAAGTTATACAAGTTGACATAAACATGAATTTAAAAGGACTCATTTATAAGGAAATGGACCACCATAATTTTGGTTTTTGATAGGTATCTAAACTACATACTTACAAGCCAATTATTATATATTTTTTGCGATATGATATTATATATCCAATAGTAAATGCGAAAAATCATTTTTATTATTTCGTAAGTTTTTGATAAAATTACACATTAGATGTATACATTTTGCAGTTGATCGACATATTGTCAATGTTTACCTCTTCAATCCAACTCCAAAGTAATGTACGATTAATGTCGTAATATTATATGATTTATCGTTTTTATGGTGCACTAGTACAGTGGTTGCTATCCTTTTGGACCTCACGGACCACTAAATACATGCTCCAAATTCTACAGACCACTTTTAGTTTAAAATAGCTTTTTACATAAATACCGTTAAATAAATCGATAAGGCATTTTTTCGGTCATATTTAATTTATTATTTTCATTGTTTGCTGCAATGGATCTATTATCTACATAATACCATGTCTAGAGTATTCTGTTTTTTGGGAAATAACAACAAAAAGATTCTGTAAGTAATGTTCAAATTTTTCTCCGGACCACCTAAATTTTCTTGCGAACCACTAGTAGTCCACGGACCATCGGTTGACAATCGCTGTACTAGTATATACTGTATATTCACTTTGATATCACTAGCTATGATATTTATATATATATATATATAAAAAAAAAAACAAATCATTTACGTTTTTAAATAATTATCTATTACGATTTAATAGTATTTAAAATCCATATTAATACTGCACTTTGCTGTAGAAATTGTAGCATGAGTTTTTAGATAGTCGTTTTATTTTTTACGATCACTCTAGTAAAGCCAGTATTACATTATACATCTGAGAGTAATAATACTATAATACGAAACGTAGGTACTGATACAATTCGCTAAACGATTTTGTGCAGAACACGGTTTTATTATATAGGTAGTGTTCTGTGTTTATAAGACGTTTTTACAACTGTAAGTGTACATGAAAATTATTTACGAGTACAGATTTTCAAAACGTATCGAATAGAGTCACAAATATAGATACTAAGTCAATTCTTAATACAACTACAAAGTGTATTTATAAAAGTAACAACCAATCATTTCGTATTATATTAATTAAATATAACATAATATATTAAAATTAGTATATTCTTCAAAGATAAAATATTAAAAATGTCTGATTTACCTAAATTGTCAGTATATTTATAATTGTAGGTAGGTAAGGTAAATTTACAATTAATTCATAAAAAATTTAATTTTTTTTTAATTTAATTTAATTTTAATAAGATTTTGAAATTTAATTTAATTTTAATGAGATTTTGAAAATTGTGTACAACATTGTCAGATATTTGTAATTTTTAATTAAAATGAATAAATACGGATGGATTCTACTATTTTTAGTCAATTTTGAATTTCCAATTTGATACTCCATGAATTGACGGAATTAACTTTGATTACAAATCATAAATTGTTTTATGTTCATTAACTTTAAGTAATCAATATATATGTTTTAGTAATCAATATATTTTTTGTTGCATTTATTTTTATATTTTCTAATAATTAACTTTCTTAATATTTATGTAAATATTATTTTTTTTATACGTGACTACTACATAATACCTACGCTTATTTGGTGCCATATCTAGACTTTGGCAAGGTGGGCGGTGGCTAAGGGTGCAGTTTAAAATGATCGCGCTGGAGGCGCAATTTTTATATTATATAAATACTAAAAATTATAATATTTTAAGTAATATTAATATTGAAATTATTAAAATGTATTATTTTACAGATATAGTCATTAAGAATTTTATAAAGTGAAAACACGATTATAGAGGTTATCTATATGGATATTTTTATTACTTTCACAGATTACGAAATTTTTGACGGCTTATTTAATGGAAACGTTTATTTTATGTAGATTTTCAAGAATATAGACATAAAGTCAGGAATTCTGAGTATTGTAATTTATATTTTTTGTAATTTGAATTATTTTTTTACATCGGGTATTTTACATGTTCAAAAAAAAAAAAAATTCTAAGAAAACTGTATAATTCAATACAGTTTTCAGTAGATAGTAATAGTAA